GTTTAACTTTGACCGTCTAAACGGACAAAAACACCATCAGTCAGACAGTTAGCTCGGAAGCTAAAGCTCGTCTGTATTAACGACGATCAAATCAGTTCATAATGCTAATCGGCTAACAGGAAGTTTTGGTTTTCTTACCGACAACGAAAAACAAGATTCGCTGTACCGTGTGTAGAGTGACTTATAACGATGTTATTTCTCGTTAACAGCGTTTTCTCCCGTTCCACTAAAAGACTTCCAGCTTCTGTGGAATATATGCTTCCGCCTTCAGTAACAAAAATACTTCCTGGATTCGCTTGTCATGTGATGTGATGTCACAGCCAATCAAATACAGAGATTGCAGAACGTCAGCAGGAGCTAGCTCAGTCCTGTACTATTTTTAAAATGATCAATGACAGAAACACTTGCAATGACTTTTAGAGGAAGATTATTTCGCAGTGCTTGGGTAATTTGCAACAAAGGTTTAAGTTCAAAAACTCATACTCCAAAAAAAGACTTGATCCAACTTTTCATGACATAATTGACATTATTTTTATTGTTATTATTATATCCTTCTGGATGTTTAGTAAGCTAGAAATACAATTAGATGTTATGCGATTTAAAAGACACATTTGTGTAGCCAAGGGATTCGTTAATTCTATTTATATTTTCAGAGATATTTACACAATTAACCAAGTATTTTCTTCTTTCCTAATAACTGGTTGTGCCACCCTTGGCAGCACAAATTGCAGTCAAGCTTTTGCAATAACTGGTAATGATTCTTTCACAACTCCGTAGAGAAATTTTGGCCAACTCTGCTTTGCAGAATTGTTTTAATTCAGCTACACTGGCGGTTTCTTGAGCATGAATGGCCTTTAAAGTCATGCCAAAACATTTCAGTCTGATTTATGTCCAGACTTTGACTCAGTGACTCCAAAACCTTTCTCACATTTTGAGAAACAAAAACATTTTTCCTGTGACTCTTTAGTAACAAAGGTCATCTCTGTGCAGAAACAACACATGGTTAAATGCCACATGGTGGTGCAATTGGAAAGCAAATAACATTCGGAGGGATTTGGAACACACTCAAAGATACAACCGTATTTTGTTTTGCAGAAAATGTAAGTTATTGTCTGATTTTGCTTTCTTTTCTCCCCTGAATTATAGTTGTATTACAATAAAGTGAAGTAATCTATTCTAAGGAACACCAGACTAACAAAGGATTTGCAGTTATGATGGCCATAAAACAGTGTAAGTGTATAATTAGTTGATTTTATTGTGAAAATTGTATTACACAATATGTGGGATTGGATTATTTATTCGCTGGAAAATATTGTGTATGATAGCCATTTATCTGTTGCACAGATCAGCTGAGCAGCAAGTGGCAGATGATACACCGGGCTGATTCATTATCCTGCAGTCATTTGACTTCATGCAACCTTTGAAATATCTGGGAGCTGTGGAAACAAGGAAAACAAGGTGGTATGAAATCATCTGTTGTAACTGATTTAATTTTTTTCTTTTTTTTCCTGCACACTAAACCAAATGAGGGTTTGGACTTACTAGATCCTGCATAAATGATGGCACTGGTGCAGACATTGTTATAGCCATGGCAAGTCTCCACAGAGTTTGGGCAGTGTCGCAGACCTCCACAGTAACACTTCAGAGCTTCACCTGGGAAAAAGAATTAATCAGGTTTAATCACTGTAGCAAAGCATTTTCACAGCCAATGATTTAAATACAGTAAATAGAACGGTAGCAGAGTCTCCCAAATGTGCCTCATTGACAGATATGGAAAATGATGCATATATAAAAAAGGCTGCAGCTTCACTCACTCTGGCTGACGACCAGCAAAACCAAAACAGCAACAATCACAGTCTTCATGTCTTCAC